TGTTATTGGTTCCACTTCTGGAGATGTATGATAAAAAAATAGAGAAATTTTCTTGGATTTGGAGTTACATTTTTTTCTTTCTCTTTAAAATACTGTTTAGATGTGATTATATTTGAAGAAAAGAAATGAAACATTGGTATTGGTGAGAAGTAGAATCATCAAATAATTACTTGTCTGTACTTAATTTTTAAAAAATTTTGAAAATCATTCTGGGTATTTACGTAAAATTATTTTTTTCTTTAGAAACAAAAACAATTTTAAGAAAAAAAGAATGAAATATTAAAGTTGGTAACCTATTTAAATTATTGAGTAATTACCATACTTGTCCTGGGCTGTACTTGATACACGCAGGTATGTGAGGCAGCAGATTCAAGTTTGCTAACTCGCACTGAATTCAACTCAAATCAGCTTAGTACAAAGATCTGGGCTACTTGTGTCATATAGGTAACACGTACTTGAAGATAGCCCCAAAAATAAAACCCTGAACTCTGAGGTCAACTGGAAGTTATTTGATAGCCAGAGTTTGCAGATCATGTTTGAAATATATACCATTGAATTGATATCTTTGTGGAAAGGAACCACACATCAAAAAGGATTTTTTTATCAACTGAAAGATAGTTTTCAAAATCATAAATTTGCAAGTCATACTTATTACACACACACACACAGGAATATTTAATTTTCATTATTTCTTTTCTTGTGGAACCAGACATGGAAGACTTTCTTTCCTCTTTTTATTTAATAGTTTGAGACATGGTCCTCTTACTTACCACATTGTCATATCATAAAGACCGTCTGGAACCTCACACCTACATTGAAATCTTTCTTAGCATCTGCATTGACTGTATTCCAGTTGTCATATCCCTTACATGTCTGACATCAGAACCATCACTTTCACAATCATTGACATTAACAGCATTCCACATATCAGACAATAAACGTATAAATGCTCATGATGGTGTCCTTTGAATTTTGAATGCTTTTAATCTAAAAAAAGCTATTAGTTGTTACATTTCATAGCCAGAACTAAATGCCTAGATTATGTGATATGGAGAGAGAGAGAGAGAGAGAGAGAGAGAGAGAGGTGTGTGTGTGTGTGAAAGAGAGAGAGAGAGTGTATGTGTGTGTGTGTGTGTGAGAGAGAGAGAGAGAGAGAGAGAGAGAGAAATATGGCAGCACAGGTAACCTAAAAAGACTGGAAGTATTTAATCATTTGCTGTACTGCTGAGGTAATATCAACAGAACTGTTTCTTAAATAGCTCCAAATATTAACCTCACTGGGTGCAGATTCCACTGGCGTTAGTCGTGCTGTTATTACGAAAAATACCGGTTACCAATGGAACGAAAACATTAAACATGCTTTAGTCTGTTGACTTACACTACTGGGATGAGAGAGAGAGAGCGAGAGAGAGAGAGAAAGGTGTTGGATGACAGAGAGAGAGAGAGAGAGATGTTAGATGACAGAGACGCTCGATGAGAGAGAGAGAGAGAGAGGTTAAAAGCATACATTTCTCATATTATCAACATAAACCTTGTTTCGAATTTTATAAAAATAAGTGAGGAAAAAATCAACTGTCTACAAGTTTTACTTAAGAAAATCCATCATGAGTCAGTGTGGTCCAGAAAAACATTGACATCATTACTTGTTTCCACATCATATTGTTTTTTCAAGTGGCATCTTCTTCTTGTACGAGGAGAATCACTCATGTCACTTATATAAGCTACATCTAATGGCTAGGGCGTGTAAACTTATTTAGTAATCTGAATGACATCATTAAGTTCCCCTTTGGCTTTTCAGCCTGCGTATGGCTAAGTTTGATATTGATGTGATATAAAAAATATTTTTAAAAAAATAGTCATGCACCCTTCAATGAAAAAAGTCAGAAAAATATACATGTTTTTGCTCTATTTAATAATAACACTACTTTTTGTGATGAGAGGACAACCTGCAAACATACTGCCTATAGTGTCTTATATTCACAGATGAACAAAATATATAAAGAAAGGGCGTAATTATAAAAGGTGACTGGAATGTAGCTCAAAAATTAATAAGAGAATTAAAATCACCACCAGACGTAAAATATGAGTTGAAAATAGTAACTATAATGCAAGGAAAAAAAATGAAGACATAACATATACCCCATGGCTTGAGGTTTGGTCCAAAAGAGCAAAGTGTGGATTTACTGTTAAAATGTATTCTTACTGTGTATGGTAATTACTAGATCTTTTCAACAGGGAGAAAATAGTGAATTTTACAGATGCTTTTCAAGTCATAATTTCTTAAAATTAGAACATTCTATTTGAGTGGTAGCAACCAAACTAAAAAGCAGGCTACCTTATAGTTATATTCTATACAGAAAAATACTACAAAAGCTGCACAGAAATATATGAACTGGCAATTTTTCCCCAGTTGAAAAGAAAGGAGAAATTACCATCATTTTACCCTCGATTTTCCAGTGAGTACTGCTGCTCCTCTTTCTTTTCACATTAATTCAAAGATGTGCAGTGCTGTAAGGGGTGTGTTCAGTAACACATGTTAACATTATCACTGGTAGACATGAAATCGGAGGTGAAAGACATTGCTTGACGTGCCAACTTGGGGTATTTTAATCAAAATTTCTGGGAGCCAGATATATGTACCAGTTGTTATTTTCACCAGATGATACCGAGTGAGTCTAAAATTAGACAAGACTTGCGTCATTTGTGGTAGATTTCTGACTTTTTAAGTATGTTTATCTTCATTCAAGTAACTATCCACTCAGTGGAAAAGATTTGAAATGTTTTCTGACTACAATTTTTTTTTTTTTTTTTTTTTTTTTTTTTTAGCAGAGTAATGAACGATAAATTTTCAAGATCTGGTTAAAATGTGTGTCTAATCAGTCCAAGGCACTGCCAACAATTTTAAGAGTCTGAATTTTGAATTAACAGTGTAGCAAGAAGTCCTCCAGTGCAACAATTTTTATAACTACCTCTGGTTGGGTTGTCTGGCTGCTTTTAAGTGTTTACAGCATGTCAGTATTACCACCTAGAGGTGGCCAGATACTTTGATGATAAAAGATTATTGAAGGCTGTCCAGTTTCTGCCCACCTATTATCATTACTCACTGACACTTAGTAAGATTATTAATTTGACATTTATTCTGTGAGAAGTGACTCTTTGAACTTCACATACAGAGACTTGAACATTTACTGTGTTTTCTCAAACTTTAAAATAAATTCAATTTATTTCTGTAGTGGTACATAGATCTTGTACAATAAAATAAAATAAAATAATAATACAGTATGTGAATGAGCAAACATATCTTTTTTAATTAAATTACTAACAAAATTTTCTAACTAAATGGTGAGGTACAACTTCTTTGTGTGTTTACTTATTTATCATAAACACAAATCATGCCGCATGCATTTACAATTATATCAACAATAATATGGAGTAATTAAAATTTATAAAGAATATGCTAAGTAGATCAGTTTTTATCACTTCTTTTCTTATATGGTTTTATTATAAAATTGGAAAGGGAGGCTAAATTTTCTTTGCTAGCATTGTTTAATTTTCTATAATATATACTTACTAACTGTCTCTCTTAAGACCTAGAACATCCACAGCCACTGCTGAACAAATTATGAAATAATTATTGGAAAGGGAGACTAAATTTTTTGCTGGCATTATATAATTTTCTATATACTCATTAACTGTCTCTCTGAAGACCTAGAACATCCACATCCACTGCTGAACAAATAAAATTTTCAAGTCAGTTTTGTTCACACAACAACAATAGCATAATATGCATGACAATGTACAGCAACAACTGAATGACAAAATGTCAGTCAAACCCTTCTCTCATTCCACCAATTAGTTTTGAATGATGAAGTCTTTTAATTAGAGGTGTTTAATTAAAGGTTGCCATACAGGAAATGTGTCACCAGGGCTGGGTCTGTGTAATTATGGTATTTTGTCTCATTAAGGACAGATAAATGGACTGTTTATGTTATGACCAATATATCATCTTGTCATCCACCTTGTAGTCCCTAACAGTAACTGTTTATTCCTGTGTATAGACATGATCCATATATTGTTTTATCAAAAGTCTAACAAAAAGAGAAAAAGTGGATAATTTTAATGAATTGATGGCATTATTACATAAGTGCATTGATAAATGAATGAAGACAGGAAAAAAGTTACAATAAGAATCAGAACCATATTTTACTTAAATAATACAGAAATGAAGTATTGTCTCTAAAATAGATGTATTATAAACAAGCACAATTACAGGAATGTAAACAGACTTTTCCAGTTTTCTACATTAACCTTTAAACGAAATATGTTCTTGCATGTTGAAATGCATAACAACTACATGTTAGCATGAATACTACACTGGAACTTTCCCTTCCTCACTTATAAAAGCGCAAACATTTCACAGTTGCTGGTGGGAGAAAAATTCCAAGTATCATTACAAGGTATCATAAACCGACACAGCCATATTTGCAAAGGACAAGGCAAATCCTACTAAAATCAGTTATAAATTCCTTGCACAACCTCAAAGTAATTGGGTTTTAAATGACATTTGATTTAAGTGGTAAGTATTGCAACAAAATACTCCCATGTCATGTATTACCAGTGACTCAACAATATTGACCTTTTGACTTGTTTGTGTACCAAATTTAAGAGTATAATGAAGAGAATTTGCTCAGTTTGTAAGTATGCATATGATTGTACTTTTAATTTTTTGATCTCATTTACAATGTTTCTTATCTGTCAAAGAAATTTGAATGTAAATTGTTAATTGATTTTGGAAATTCATTTGTTTTATTTGTTTTACTACTTGAATGAACATTTTTGATGGGATATCATGTCACAAACCATAAAAAGATGTAATGTTCAGAATGCTTGTTTGTTAGTCTTTATTTCTGATTTATGGTCATGATATGAATTGAATTAATCTTTACCTCTCAGTTTTTACTTAGTTTTCATAAACTATATACAATTCAATATATATCCAGGAACAAAAAGAAAAAGAAAGAGAAATCAAGGAACAGGAGAAAGACCAGAAGAAGACACAGCCCCATTCTCAACCAGCACAATCTCAATCTCACCAAACACAATCGCTGCAGCACTCGCAGCAGAGACATCCGCGGTTACCTCAGTCCTCACGCGTACCTAAGTTTTACTTTCCCATGGGACCGCCTGTGGCGCGGGAAGAGAACGACGCCATGCTGCAGAGAGTGGCCGAAGTTTTTTCTGCAGCAGAAGGAGCGAAGATTTATAAACATCAGATGGAGATGGTGACTAAAGTGAGTAGGATGTTTTAAGAATTTAAGATTATAATTTTTTGATTTAATTATTTATTTTGAAACCAGCTCTCTCAGAGTACTTTGATTATGGAAAATGAAAATAATGAGTAAAGAAAATTTGAAATAATTGTTTTAAAAGACCTTAGGAGACCCAAGATTTAGTTGCTATTGTAATCATTTCTATATCCTATCAAAATGACAGTCTATTAAAATTTTATCAACATTTCTGAAAAACTTTTAACAAGTGAATAAACCAACACCAGTGAAAAAATGATTTCCTTTGGAAAGGAGGCACATTTACTAGGAGCAGATGGTTGTGTTCAAACAGATAACAGAAAAGGAAAAAAAGCGCTTAACCTTTTGGTAGAAACACAAACAGATAAAATCAAAATGCCATCAAGCACCTCAAGAGACAGGTATATAGCTAGATGTGATAGACTCAGTTTCAAACCAGGACACAGATTTCTACCACACCTGCTTGGTATCAATACACTTTAGGTAGACTGGTAACTTTATAACTTCACACTCCACCTGGTGCTGTCAGAGCCAATAAACTGACCAATTTGAACTGGTTTCCCCCCATGCCCTTATTCGAAAGAGTTTCAGTTTTCAAGCACCTGGTGTAATTGCTTAAATAAGCGTGGTTTTGATTAAAAGGGAAGTAGAACTTTGCTGATATTTTTTTCCAAATGTTGGAAAGCATTCAAGTGATTTTTTGTGGATTTGTAAGTCTGGGATTTTTTAAAAAAATTATTTATATTTTAACATGTTGGTGAACTCTACTTCTTTCTTTTTTGGTATTTGTAATCCTTTTTGTAATGTATTTTTCTAAAAGAGTCAGTCACGCAGCTAAGCCGTGTCTGATGCAGATTAGTTGTGCACTGACTAGGAAATATGATGGATTAGTCAGATGTGACAGTTGAGATAGGGCATTGTGTTAAGATGTGACACTTGGAGAAAATATTATAAAATTGTAACACAAGATTATATATGTGGAAATTAAATTACTCAAGCAGACTTGTTAAATGGTAATAACGTGTATTTTATTATTTTATTTTAACTTTTTCCTCTTAGGCCTGTGATGTACCATTCTATTGGAAAAGTCTCATATTCAACTCAGCTGGAGGAGACAAATATGGGTTCATTACACTACAGTCTTTCACTGTTTTATGGAAAAAGTAAGTTAAACCCAAACTGTGCAGATTAACATAACAGTAGATAAAATGTCAAATGTTTCATAAAGATATTTAGTCACAGCTTTTTAATGCAAGTTTCTGAAACACTCCCTTAGTACACAGATACCATTTATGTGAGAGGTTAATCCTTTGAGAATACTTTTTTAATGATGAATTTACTATGCCATTATATTTTGATGAGAAAAGCTTAGAGAATAACTAAAAGATGTTAATGAATTCTTGTTTCAGACTTACTGCCAATTGCCATGACGATGCAGCAAGATTTGTCAGTCTTTTAGCAAAACCAGGGTGCTTTTATCTGACTACAGAGGAGTTTGTGCCATTAATACAGGTAAAATCACCCCCATCTCTCTCTCTCTCTCTCGATATTTAAAATAAAATGTTTAAATTTATCCATGATTAAATTTTTCCAGTTGGTGTTAATAATCATTGAATTAAGACTTTAAGTGTGGTGGTTATATGACACAAACTGTTACTTAACCAGGTGAGGGGAAGTTGACTGCAATCAGCAGAGAGATCTACAGGTGTGAAAACAGTTTTGTTGATCTTAGCTGTCAGTTAGTGTCAGCTCGTTCTAGGGTCAGTATTAAGTTCTGTACCACTTTATCTGTAGCTAACTGCTGTGGAGATAAGAATCTTGAGAAGACCAGATCAAGATGGTGGTTCTCTTCAAAACTGTACAACCAGTTAGTGTCACACTGTCTTATAATATAGTCTGACTTAATCTCTTGGCACTTTACCTGCATATTTACAAACACAGTGATATAAGCTCTAAGATTTTATTGCCTCGGGTGACTTTATTGTGGGACAGTTAGTGTCATGTATGGTGTCACCAGGTGCCAAATAGATTTCCCACCTTCTTTGTCAGATAAGATCCATTGTGCCTAAATATTGTTGTTTGTGAAGTTCCCTATGTATTTATAGCCTTTAATTAGTCAGGGCGTGAACAACATTGCTTCTGTTTGTCCTCCATTGCTCATCCTGGCAAGTCACCTGCAGGGTCCTGACACATTTTAGGTATTAGGGTCACATGATATGTTAGCAGGTGACATAGTTTTTCACTTTTTCTCCAAAGTGTTGTTGATTGAAAGCATTTCCAGCCAATCAGGGATTAAAGTAGGTCACCTTAGCCAATCAAATAAGAGAGGAGGAACTTGTTGACACATGTCACCAGTGTTTTCTTGTTTGGCTGGTTTAAAAAAGGAGGGGAAGACATCTGGCATCACTTCAGTGGCAGACACTGACACCTCTACATTGGTTAACTGACAGAATTTAGGTCTTCCACCATTTGTCTCTCAGTTCAAGATCAAGGTGTGCATTGCTAAACGTACACTGTGTAATCTTATAATTCATCATGTCTCTGCATAATATGTATGAAGAATCTGAAGGAGGGTCCAACATCCATGGTAGTATAGAGAACGACTATCTGACTGAGAGTGATGGAGACCAGCTGAGTGAAAAGATAGATATGGCCAGTGACACAGTCGCTCTGCTCAGTGCCCTGGCGAGGGACCTCCGCGTCAGGTACGAGAGGGCTCAGAGAACCAAGCGGAACAGCTACCTGTGCAAGCTACGTATCTTGTTGATAGCCATTCAGGGCCTGAGGGACACCTTCTATGAGTACACAGTGAGGAAGTGTGATGAGCTGGAGAGAATAGAAAGGAGAGTTGAAGTTGAGCAGGGGCTACAGTCACTGGAATATGATGACACTGACTCAGACTTAGATGATTACAATGAGTACTAGTTAGCCACTCTTGGCTTCTCTACATGATGTTTATGAACACTAGATACTGGATGGCTATATAGGAAAGAGAGAGAGAGAGAGCAAGATAGTTTATCTAGCACAGATATTGACCTGTTCATTGCAGTAACAAAGGCCCTTTTCAGGGCCACTATCACTTCCCAGAAAAGCTAAAGCCAATTTGCCCAATTTTAAAAGAAAGATTTTTACTGATTTTTTTATTCATTTTTAAAAATATTTATTTCAGATTTAACAGATACCTGCCTTGCACCAGAGCTCACATATTGAATTAATTAAGAGTTATTTTCTTTATAACCACTGTACTGAGTATCCTTTGTTTTCATCATACCAGTAGATAAAATTCTTGAATTTATTGTTCCAGGATGTTGTGGACACACATCCAGGGCTCACTTTTTTACAAGATGCACCTGAATTCCACTCTAGATACGTACACACAGTGAGTAACATCAGACTTCACATTTAAATAATAATTATATTGATCTGCAGAATAACCTTATTCTGAAATGTTGGCAAGGGAGGGGGGCGGGACAAAGAACCTCCCTGTTAGTCAGGGAGGTCTACATTTTATGTGGTTTAGCAATTTGCGTCCACAAAGGGGGATAAAAAAGTTCACTTTTTTCATACAAAATAGAGCCCTCTCATAATTTGCTGGCTTGGTTGTAAGGATAAGGGGGCAATTGGGGATGTTTCATAGTTTGTGTTGATGTTTGATACTGTTACCTATATTACAACTTCCTTTGAATCTTTTAATCGCTCAGAAGTTTACATAAACATTGCTTTCAAAATTATTTGTTTGAATCTTCCACTTTCTGTCGGTCTTCTTCTTGAATACCTGAGAATACTTCTTACATTGTGTCAGCCTCATATGTATCTTTATTGAAATGATTCCAGGTAATAGCTAGGATATTCTACTGTGTAAATAGATCATGGTCAGGTAGAATAACAGTACACGAACTGAGGAGAAGTAGCTTTCTGCAGGTGAGGAAGTGAAATCACATTATTACCTCTTCAAAGAAGCTCATGCTTTTGGTTCCTTTACTTTGTTTGTTAGCAGTGTTATGCAAAAAGTTATGGGCTTATTACAGTAAAAATTTCAAGGTAGTTCTAAAATGGTAATTGGAACAAATGATGAGGTCTTGGTGATAGTCCATTTATTAAATAATGGCTGATCAATATTTCTTTTTTTTTTTTTTTTTTTTTTTTGTTCTTGGTGGGGGTTTGCGCTCTGTGAGTGCTTTTCATAGCATAGAAATAGTTTTCTGGTAGGGAAAAACTTAATAATTCGTCTGCTGAACTTGTGTGGAAGATGTAAAAAGCTGTAACAAAATAACTTTTTGGGGGTACGGTAATGTGCCAANTTTAATGTTAAGTAATGTTAGCACATATTGTACACAGCAAAATAAGTTTTCAGGAGGATAAAACATGCCTGAAACACATGTTAGGCGAAAATTGCGGCTTATCTTGCGTAACACTTCCGGTAAAATGCAATACTTCCGGAAAGATGGACGTTTTGGCAGATGCCCCTAACAATCCGACGATATCAAAGGTTTCCATTTGCTGTATTTTAATCAATTCGACCAAACTGACATTTCCATGAAATTAATTAATTAATCTTGGTCGAATTGTTTGGCATATTACCGTATGGACATTTTTATGCAGTACCAACGGTTACAGTAGGAAATATTCAAAATTTATCAACTTCATTGCTCCTTACAGGTTTTATCAATATTAGAAGATGAAGAAGACATCAACCAAGTCACAGAATATTTCTCCTATGAACATTTTTATGTAATCTATTGTAAGTTCTGGGAGTTAGACAAGGACCACGATCTCTTCATCAACAAGGAGGATCTGGCCAGACACAATGACCATGGTGAGTAGTGTCCAAAATGGACTATTGGTGACACTGTTGTGAATGTGAAACTAAAATAACTTGTCTCTTGACTTTGTAGCCAAATTTTTAATTTTGACTTGCTATTGCTTATAGTAATTATTGAAAGTCTTATTATTAAAAATTCTTTGTTTATTGTGATTTTTATTTGAAAAGTTTTAATTTGGTTTTTGTTCTGTTCCAGCAATCTCTACACGGATGATAGACAGGATTTTCTCTGGTGCTGTGACGAGAGGCAAGAACATTATGGAAGGCAAGATGAACTATACAGACTTTGTCTGGTTCCTGCTGGCAGAGGAAGACAAAAGACAGCCCACCAGGTCAGCCATCTTGTTATTTTCATCACTAGGGATTTGATTTATCAGTTGTTGGTTGTGTTATTTATGTTTCCTTATTTAAATTCAGTCACAATGCTATTGGTCATAAACAAAATACTGGCCAAACTTTTCTTGTTTCTCTCCTTTTGGATTTAATCTTTTTTTTTCATTTTTATTTTCATAAGCTTCTTACAGATTATTTGGCAGTATATTTTTATTTCATTAACTTCACAGATTGCTGTAATTTTCATGATTAAATTGTTAAAACTCATTAACTGTATTACACGTAGAATATCAGTTTGGTGTTCCTCAAACATATTCCAAAATTCAAATAATTCAATCTGCAGCATCGAATACTGGTTCCGCTGCATGGACCTGGATGGGGATGGCGTCCTCTCCATGTATGAGCTGGAGTATTTCTATGAGGAACAGGTTCAGAAGATGGAAGCAATAGGAATAGAGCCACTGCCATTTGAGGATTGTCTATGTCAGGTGAAATACAGTGTATATACTGCAATGTAACCATGTCAAATGAGTATACACTTCTCAGTGTTTTTTTTTGTGATATGTTTGTTAAGGTATTATATGAAAAAAAAAGTAAAATGGTGTTTTCAAGACAACATGCCTATAAACAATTGTTTCCATTACTTGAAACATTTTCTTGCGAACATTTAGAGTATGTAAGTATGTTTTACAGCTGCTTTAAACTAGATGTTAGTTTCAATCTAAGACCATTTGTCAATGACAAAAAATAAAATGTCATCTTGATTACAGATGCTGGATTTAGTAAAACCAAGGGACACCACAAAGATCACATTGGGAGATTTGAAGGCATGCAAGCTTACACATATATTCTTTGACACCTTCTTCAACCTTGAGAAATACTTGGACCATGAGCAGAGAGATCCATTTGCCAATGCTAGGGTGAGTGTGGTAGTTGAGATTGGGTTAAGAGGTGGGCGTGATAGTAAGGATGGCTGAATTGTGTTAGGTGTGACAGTGGAATTCTGGGAGTTTTTCTGTTGCAAACTGAATTAGTTGGAATAAAATGAAATGTGGCAGATTATGATGAAGGGTTGTAAAACAAGTACAATGAGTTGATGTCATGTGAAGAGGTCTGTTTAAATGTGTAAGGGAGTATCAGTTATGTCGTTTTTAAGCATACTTAAAATACAACCATCATGTCATGAAATTGGATTTATTGTATTTAAAATATCTCAAACACAGTTAAAGGATTTTTTAAATATTGTTTTTGCTTATATTTGAAGCACAAGTAGCACCTGATTATTTTAGTAGTCGGTTTAGATTCAGTTTGATTTTTCGTTATTTTTTCATTTTCATTTACACTGTCTCAATTTGTTGCTGACTTGTAATTTTCTGACCCTTATCAGACCTAGCTACCTGTTGTCCATACATTCACAATTGATATGTTATCACATAACCCCCTCTATCTCCCCCAGGACCTGGACAGTGAAGGCCCAGAGGTGTCTGACTGGGACCGCTACGCCGCTGAGGAGTACGAGATCTTGGTGGCTGAAGAGGGAGGTGTAGAGAACCCTGATGATATGTGAGTTTACTCTGAGGCTTGCTTATTTACTTTATCCTGATGTATGGGAGACATTTGACAGAGCACCTTGTGGACAGTTTTACTGAAATTTTTCTGTGAAAAAGATACATTATATCAAGATTAGCTAAGAATAATTTTCCATGAAATTGGGTACACTGTATTGATTTTTCTTGAGGTTACCTTTGAGTAAATTTTGCAAATGGGGTATTATCTTTAGAAAACAGTAAGCTTTCACTTCAAACTGATTATTGTGCATGTGCAACTGTTTATATGATAAAGAAAAGTAGACTTGAAAATATTGTTTTAAAAACTTTTATCTAAAGAAAATAGTTTAATCGGAGCATTTTGCTGTATTTTCCCAGTCAATATGAAGATGACTTTGAACCAGATGAGGATGAACTTGTAGCACTGGAAGCAGAAAAACTCCAACTTTTGGACCCACCCATTAAAAAGGGGAAGCCAGCGGGTGTCTCGGACATAGAAGATGACCTATATGACTTCACTAATGAAGATCTGGGCTATTGACAATGACACAGTTAATTCAAGGTGAAGCTCTAGTAAAGTAGACCTGTATGCCACAGTACTGGATGGCATTGTGATTTAAGATCCTGCTATGAAAAAGTTCACAGTTGCAAAACTGACTGACTATGGGGATCGCCTTTATGGAAGATTTGAGCAATTGTTGGTCAAATAAGATCTCATAAATAAACAGTAAAATTGATACCTGTGAAGAAGATGTCTGCCCTTTGTTACTTACACTTCATAAACCTGTGAAGTCCTACAGATGTTAACAAGGTATGGAATAGTATAGAATTTGTCCCACTTTACTATGTAGACGAGTAGGAATGAGCCTGTAATTCTACAAATCACTGTTGTTAGCATGACACAGAATAAAGATCTTTCCACTTTTCCACCTAAGACATGAAATGGTGGACTTACAAAAGCAAAAAGAAAAAATCACGCATGTTGGAGGATTATCATACTGCAAAATTGCAATGCTCATGGACAAGTACTTTGTATGCACTCTGTACTCATGGATAAGTATCAAGCAATGAGTAAAAAGTACACTGTTGACATCAGGCATAATGAGGTGTGCCCTGGATCTTTGTGACCTCAGTCATTTATTTTATGTAACAACAGGAAGGTAAATAGCAGTGAAAAACTGATTTAGTCAAAGATGAAGATGGCTATCAATATGTCAAGCTGCAGTGATGGCTTCAAGGTGTTAGACAGTCTAAAAACCAGAGCCACCATTCACGTATTTATCATAAAAACTTGACTGGTTTAAGTGATATAATGTGGCTGAGGGTGCAGCTACAGTGGTGCCATATATGATTGTGTTCAGGCCTGTATGCCAAAGATAAAAATGGCTGTCAAGAAAGTGCATGGCAAAGACTTTTTAAATGCGTGTGTCAAAAATCTAGCTAATTTAACCAATGGTTACTTGAGTGGAAAGTAATAATAAAAAAAAAACAACGGGCAATATTGTATATCTCATTATTAGATAAATTATAAAAATCATCGGCCCATTTCTATAGAATTGTCAGCTTTGGATAAGATGGAAAGAACTGATATTAAGTTGAAATTAATTGTTTGAATCTAAGAGATAAATGAAAAAAGGTTAGTATTAATTAGATGGTGTTATAACAGCAAACATCTTAGAACTTAATTATTCTGAATAACATAAAACTAGACAGAACTCTGTCACCTGAAAGGTGAAAGTATAAAATGAAAGTGATAAAAACATGAAGTGGCCTTAATCCCCATATCAGGTACCTTTTATGCTGCTTATTTCTTAAAAATGCATTAAGCAGATATAGGAAAAACACCCTGTAGAGAGTTGAGAGTGGTTTGTATACAGTATACCATCTTAAGTGCTGAAATGTTCATGGTCATAGATGAGATAGTAACTTTAGGTGTCCATGCTGTTTTTTTTTTCCTTTTTTCATAGCCAATACGTTTTTTTTTCTTTTTATTTGTTGATATTTACTAAAATGGTGACAGTTTGATGAAAATCATTGCATTTTTTATTATCATATTATTATAATGATAATGATTAGTAAAATATTTGAGCCATAATACATTATCCTTAATTGAGGGAACCTACACATGCTACCTTAAGCCTTAAAGAGGAAATTCAATTCTCAACATAGAATCCCTCTTTTTACCATCCACTATAGTTTTCAAAGTTTGATAAGGTTAAAATGATAATCAGGCTCATTTTTTACTGCCTTTCATGTGGCGTTCAATTTTGTAAAATATTGTTATGTATTACTTACCTTTAAACTTCTTACTTGGTTATGTTGTTGCATTTGAATGTTGAATTGTTTTGTAATGCAGCTAATATTTTTTACTGCAAGTTAGTGCATAACTTGCAAGTAATTTTTATTTATTTGTACTTGTCATCAGTCAAACTAAGACATCTTCAAGGTAGTAAGTTATAGAAGATGGTGCCAGTATATATAGACAATATTGTGCAAAAGATTGTTTTAAAGGATAATGTGTAACAAAAGGCATTATGTATTTATTCAGGGAGGACATGAAAGAAAACGAGAAGTTTTATGAGTAATTGCATATAATATCTTTTAATATTGAATTGAAATTATGACAAAGATTGTAAGATGTAAACTTTTGAATTGAAGATCTGTAGAAGTGCTGTAAAAGGTATAAAATAAAGGTATTCTGAAGGTTTTGAACACTATTAATAACTTGACCGAAAGCAAAATGCTTGCTGTAATATTTATGAGGACTTTTGTTTTTGAATAACTAATGAGTTTGAATTAATTGTGTAATATTAATAATTTATTGATGACATCATAATTTATTTGTGATGTCATACTGTATATGTGACATCAAAAGTTTTTGTATGTATTTTCAGTTGAGGTTGCTTGTGCAGCCGATGTAAGTGACAGTTTTTCCAATTAAGCAAACATAATAAACTTGTTTGTTATGAAAGAGGATGTTTTAGTATTATTTATTATTATTATTTTGTTTGTTCAATCACATGTTGTCGTTATAACTGATACAATTATCGGATATCTTGCAAAACGAAGCCAATCCACTCTATTCAGTTGTATTATTTCTTTAGAAATGAAAGCAAAACACGTGAGCACTATACCATCTTTATTTGCAACAAAACATTTAACTTTTCAAACACTATTTTATATATTACTGACTGTATGTTTTCAAATGAATTTCCCCGTCTCACATTACCAATTATTCATAACTACATAAACTATTGCCTGAAATTTGCAAGCAAAATAAGATTTCAACTTCATGAATATATAATAAATGAATAATATAATAAGTTGGCCCAGGGTTACCACATTAGCGAGTCTTGCCCTCTACCTTGGCCGCACATTATTAGGTGCACTTTTTGCCAACACGACAGTGAAGATATGTGCCATGAATTACCCAGAAACACATTTGTGAACATTAGTGAAATATCAATTTGTTGGCCTGGTGGAGGGTTACCCTGTCTGGCTTGGTTGCTCGTCTTTGGATACATGTAGTCATAGACTGCTTTTTACTCGTACAAAACAATCTAAAAATATATCTTCAAAATTTATAATGGAGATTGCTCTAGACGAAATAATGACTTCCAGTTCGGCTTGTTATAGGTGCAGTAAATATTTAAATACCCATATAAATGTTAATCAAACTCCATATCATCATTGTCTTTTTTATATACGCATTCAATGTTTGATGAAGATATTGCAAAGAACGTGTAATATTGCATGCCATATTATAAACTACAAATGCACCTTCCAAAATAAGACACCAAACCGGAGAAAAGCACATGTTCATTATGTCAAAAATATAGAATATTCCTTGATCATAAAATAGAAGATTTAACATATAAAATAGAAGTATTTATCATATATAATTCCAAAGGTATAGACAACACAGGTGATCGTTTTAACCACAATAAAAAATCAGTGTTACATATCTAGATATTACATAACGGGAATATTAAAGTAATGTTATCCAGTGCAAACAACAAAGATTTCAAAAACAAATATCGCCGAAGGTTCTATAAGGTCCACTCTGATCTCCTCTGGGAGATATATTTTCTGATTACATTTTCATTTTCTCATGCAAGTAAAGAAAAAAAAACACAGAGGAGATCAGTTTGATGTCGCCAACATAGGTCAAACAGAAGTGTTATGCAGCTTTATGCATATTATTAGTGTTGTTAAACACAGGAACCGTTCACTTGCGCTAGGTCTTAACCCGTGGGTATTTTCGTTACCCGTGAAAGCTACTTTTTATTTCCAGACATGCGTGAGACGTTTGTTAAGATACTTCATTTCATGTAGCGTGATTTGTGAAGCACATCATTCACGCAACTCGTAAATGAGACTTCTTATTCTCTGCCCCTCGTGAAATGAAGTCATTATACACGACGATTTGTGATTTTCAGGATTTCTGATTGGCATTATCAGTGAGATATTTTATTAAAATAAAGTTTTATTTACTAAAATTTGTGAATTGATCGTTTTGTTTCCCTAGAAATTGTGATCACTCCCTGTCAGGAACCAAAAAATGGAAAAAAGTACTAATTACACTTTTTTCTATTTTGTGGTTCCTGACATACCCAATCCCAATGGGAACTTCTGTTAAGGGCCAAGTCAAGAGTTCGTTTGCAGAGGCTCTGGATAAAATCATTTGTACTTCTGTATACTGTTCCTCACCACCACTTCTATTTATTCGCGATTTTTAAAATTTAAAATTTTTAAAACTGTCAAACCGTGCTGCCAATTTCAACTTATCGTTGCTACTGCCAGATCATGATGGTGCTCATACGTGGCCTCACGTGCAGTGAAGGGGCGGGGCTCCATGGTGATGGACGCGGCGACTCGACCTTGACCTTGAAGTGACGTCATGTTGCTGCTGCCAGCAAGAGGCGAGACTGAGGTAGTCGGGTTGAGTTGATTGATCTGTATGGTGTCTGCATCCACATAGGCGATGGCGTACACCTATTGTAATATGGTCAGTATGTTCAAACAAACTTTGTTATATCAGTTTCAATACTGGTATAATTATAATAATTATGATTTTAGCTGTTATTTGTATTCTTGTTATTGTAGTTTAATCACACAAGTAATATATTTTCCATAAATGTTAAATTTACTAAAATAATGAAAATAAATAAATAAACAAAAAACTGAAAATTGAAAAGCATTTTTGTGACAAAATTCAAACTTAGTTGTAATTAATAAATAAGTAAGTAGATAAATAATAATAATACGTTTAAATACTAACCTTAGGCGCATACAGAAAAGCCAGCACAACTGTCGCATTCAGAATCAGTGCCACTGAGAGCAGCACCACCCTGAAGTAGGCCGCAGACGTGGTGAAGTAGGTCGGGATGAAGGCTAGCCAGATCACCAGGGTCGTGTACACACACATCGAGATAAACTTGGACTCGTTGAAGTTGTCTGGCAGTTTTCGCGTTTTGAAGGCGTAGAAGCTGCACATGGCGACAAGGAGGATGTTATAGGCAAGGGATGCGACGATGCCTTGTATGGGGAGCTTGCAGAGGAGTTCGACGAATTTTTCCGTCTTGACTGGCATGCGTTGTTCTATACCAGGAGGGTTGACCGCTGCTGTGATGATGCTTATGATAACCTGAGCGAAACCAATGGTGAAATCGAAAGTGAAAGTGCAAGTAACTTGATTAAAGGCACATTCAGTTTTTAAAAGTCCACTGAACCACTTTGTTTAATATTGAATTCGACTAAAATTATTGAGAAAATTAAAAAAAAAATAGCAATGAGTAAAAGCGTTCTGTACCTAGCTCCTATGTGGTTTATAGAAGACGGATAACTTTAAATATTTATAATTTATGTAATTATATAACAAATTAGTAAATAATCAAATATTAATTAATTTGTAGGAATAATTTAAATATGATAATGTATTACCTACCTCTATCGTAATCAGCAAAGACGCTATAATCACTTGGGATCGGGGACTAACCAGTGGCGGCCTCTTTTTGGTCTTTTTGCCCGATGCAAAAATGCGGTAGATGCGATTCGTGCGCGTGAAGAGTGGCGCGTAAATCCAAGCGAAACTGAGGCTGAACCCGAAGTGCTCGACGTAACAGAAATGGTCCTCTGGCTTCGCAAGGAAGAAAATGGCGGTCAGGTAGCTGACGAACACCCCAGTGAGGATGAGGTAGGCTAGCTCTCTGCTGCAGGCTTTTATCAGTTTAGCGTTATTATGTCGAATGAAGAAGGCTAGAATGAACGCTGCCAGGATGATGCCGATGATGCTGAAGGTGAGTATCGTGATAGCTAAACTGTCCCCCCATCTCATGTGTTCTGGTTGGACGCTCTCGCATGACGTCAGACTTTCGACCGGCCACATCAGTTCTGGACACTCTTTGCAAGATGTTTGGTTGGATACGAGGTATTCGTTGTTGCGACATTTACGGCATTCCCAGCAACAAGAAAGCTCCTTCTGCAAGTAAAATTCACCTTTTCCACAGGGTTTGCTACATACTGACTCCGGGGTCTCAAGACTCACCGATTCTGAGGTCACCCAAATGATAGGGTTCTGATCGACTAACTGCACGTGACCGACGTCAGCGTCCCACGAGGCCACAGCGACCTGTTTGTAGTCGGACGATTTATTCTGCAACTGCTCTATGTCATACTGGGCCAAGATGTCTCCCTGTTTGTCAAACTTCACTCGCCCAATATGCCCCTGGAATTCCACTTCCAACAAGTACTTTAAAAGCAAGGATCCGTTGATACATTTGCTGACATTTTGACCCACAACTCCTGGGCACCTTTCTTCGATGAGGCTGTGCAGCGCATGCGCAAAAACCAAGGTGGTGTCAATTACCAAAGTGGCAAAACTCATCGGAGCGAACCCGTTCGCTTCGGTCATTCGGTTATCTTCGTCACAGGTCGGCTTCCCGGTGCCGTTTGTCCAGGAGCAGTCGAAGTACAGTTCCCAGTGCTCCATGAAGTATGGGTTGTCGCTGCGGATGGCGGGGTGTAGCCCTTTGAACCACGTGTTAAACTCGCGCGCATAATCAAACCCTGGCCTAATGGTCAATATCCCCTCCGCGGCGTCCGCGCTGTCCCCCAAGTCGGCGATTCCCACCGACACCCCGTCGCTGCCGATCCACTGGAACACCCCCATGGCGTCTGCCCGCTTCACCGCTTTAAACAACTCAATGGCCGGCGATATATGCATTATCAACAGCACTGCGCGGGCGTTGCGGGCATTGAGAAGCATGCTGACGGTGAGGTCCCAGTCCGACTGCTGGAAGCTGTCGCTGACCACCCGGTCCACGGCGATGCAGATGCCGAAGTCTTTGGTCAGTTTGCGCACGGTCTTGGCGGCGGTCTCGCCGTAGTCGCTGTCCACGTAAAGAACGGAGACGTACGTCCATCCAAACTTGTTCAAGATGTCTACCATGGCTTGGACCTGGGGGAAGTAAAGAAATACTGGTGCATTATTTACTGCTTGAGTTGTATGAATATTATCAGGCAATCAGATAATTTAGTACATAAATGAAAGGGTTTTAATTTTCAGTTTATTCTAGCACCCATGAAATAGAGAAGGTGACCCATGACTGGTCTATAGAATGCTTAGTGATGAACATGCAGCCTCTCTAATGTAACACTTATAAGGGTTTAAAACTTTCATGAAATTTTCGATGAACTTCGAAACTGCTCAGTTTGCTCTGCAAGCTGACCCATAATTTGTATTTTAAAAAAATCTTTAAAAATGTCTACCTAAGCATTGTATTTTGACCCACGGAATCTCTGCTTCCACATAAGAGCAATCACACACGTAGAGCTTCCTTTCAAAAAGATGTCTTTGTGATCGGCCAGTAGAAACCTTTATAATTCACTATAGCAGACCTTGGAACATACAGAACCACTTTAAGTGTCTCGACTTTCTTGGAAAAAAACCTGGCTGTTATCAGCTAAATGGCACTTGTTGGTCAGGTGAAGTGACCGTGGGCACCTGTCCTACTTGTTGACATTTCTGTATACGACACCCGGGCATCTAGGGACAGACGTCCAATCTTCAATTTCCAATCTTCAATTTCCTTAATGTTTAGTGAAGAACACTTTGCACGGATTCTTTCACGGCATAACAATATTTGGTTCTTCACAAAGATTGCTCTGGCGAACTGATTTTAACGACACCAAGACAAAGACGACGGAATCTATGGTTGATGATTCCTTTTTACAAATTATTTGTAGTTTTGAAAAATAAAGAGCATATCAATTATGCGCACAAATTTCACTAACGTTATATTTACTAAAAATATTAAAGATTTTCACAAGATGTGGTTATATTTGGCAATTTATAAAATCCCACGAGTGCGTTTTATGTTTTAGGCATCCTCAATGTTGCTACTTTTTCAAAACGGCCTCTTCCTTTAAAGGGATAATAACTCTTCGTATGAGATCTATATTTCACAAAGAAAACATTGTGAACAACTCGTAGAAATACAATATATTTTGTTTTACCACAAAAAACGGCAGTTATAGCTATTATTCTGATATCTGAGCTTGTCTTCAGACCACGTGACCTCCATTGATGGCTATACTCTGTTATAATCTCTTAAGAGATTTTAACAAAAAAACCAAACTTTTTAGAAAAAAACCAGGGACTAACTTTGAAAGTAAATATGGATTCATGAACCATTGGTTAGCACGGAAAAAATTGTTGTTTACTCCAGGAAATTTCATTTTTTGGCCAAAACGAAGAGTTATTATCCCTTTAAAATGGAGGTATAACGTGTAGAACGATTATTTATTGCGTTCTGTAACCAAATGTGTTCTGTCACTAAGGGAAAGGTATAATAAAAAACACTGTCGTTACAACCCCTACGATTGCATCCATCTCACTGCTAAATCACCAGTCGCCAGTGTCTTCGCCCGTAAATCAAATTTTGTCATTAACTGACTACCAGCGAACCCTGTGATCAGAAAGTACTAGTACTTCTTCTGTACTCTCTACCTGGGCGACAGATTGATTTCCCACTAGATATTTACAGAAATGTCACTGGTTAATTCTTGGCACTTTTCAGCACTGTGGAAAGTGCACGTAATTAATCTGTGTCCCAGGTAGAGTGTACCTTGTGTGCAACATCGGTTGAAAATACACCGCGTTCTTGACACCTTAACGTGACCTCAAACGTCGACGCCTTGAGTTGTTTATCAGCCTCATCGGATCGCCGGCCTGCTTCTGGTCACTTTCATTACATCTATCTTTCGTGAAAAGAGATATCAGTGAGTTGAAAGGGTGGCCACGTGCCAAGAAGGACGCTGAGATTTCTCTTAACTTAAGAAATGAAGGATGAAACGCGCCTTAAGTGAGCGAGAGAGAACAAAAAAAAATTAAATGGCGCCATTCTTTACGATAATGGATAGAGAAAGCCTGTCATTTTAAAATGAACTATTTGTAATTATTTTAATTCAGCTGTATTTGTTCAAAATCTTATGGCGCAGAAAAGGCACGAACAAAGGCATACGAAGTAAATAAAATTAATTGTCTTAATTGTCTTCAATCACGTGTAACTGCCCATGGTTGACATGGTTAATTTCTTTTAAGTAATCCACACCATTGTCAAAACTATGATAAAACCATTGAAGATTCAGATATTTTGCGGCGAGAGTATCTGCTAAGGTCTTTGCGTGCGCTGCTTTGAAGCATATTATCGCAATTATAGAGATGCAGTTCAATCCTGCAGATACTCAAATCAATTCTATAAATGGTCTGTGAATCCGAAACAATTCTCGCTAAATAAATGAGTATTTTGTTTTTGAGTTTTTCTACGCCATTACCCCATGCTTCAGTAACGCGAGAATCCTACAAAATATCTGAAGTTTGTCGACAGCCGTTCTAAGAGTTAAAGAAACCGTGTAAGTCCTACAGTATTGAGCTGTCCATCTGAGTTACTTCTTAGCCATGCCACTTGATGACGAATTACTCTTACTTGTGCACTTACGGCAGTATTTGCGGTGTTTATTCTCCGTTTGATAGTTTTCTTTTTTGTTACATAGTCGAAGGTATATAGCTGTTAAGATATTTTATAGCTTTGGAACTTAGATACTGTGTCCAGACATTTCTGTGCGTTCAAAGTAGGAAGGATTCTTTGACAGTTAAATAATAAGCTTTCAAATACATCTTTTTTATCGTTTATGTTATTTCATTGGTTCTTATGGTACCTGCTTCCTTAACTGGTGAACGTGGTTCAAGTATTCTGTTCAAAGATTCTCTGAAAAGGTGCGAGTTGAATAAATGAGTTATTGAATCGCTTTTTGATGCTTTCTTTGACCCCATTTCCAGAGATTAGATCGATCTACTTTAGATCGACCTAACTCCCTGGGGGTTCACGCTAAATAGCTGTCAGCCGAGCGGACACGAAAGTTAATTACCCCCTTACAGCTTGTAGTAGGCGGGACGGACATTTCAGCCGGATTATTTGACAGTAATCTAGTGAGACTCCCCGCGGGGATAAATCTATCTAAAAGCTCTGGGAATACAGCCTATAATTCTCAGATTCAACGTAAGCTTTCTCACTTACTCGAAACATTTTCTGGGCACGTTTTGAATAACATCTTGACACTATACCATCTGTATACATACTTTTTCAACATTTGAAGACCCGTATATTGGATTTGCCATTTTAAACTAATTTCATTAAATTTCATTTAGATGTAAGTACCTATTTCATTTTTATGAAAAAAAAATCAAATGACTCAAGATTATCTAAACAATTGAGCTTTTAAGGATTCTAGTCAACGCCAAGTTAACAACTTTTCTTTATAATTAAGTCCAATAAGACATCATTTTGGTTTCAGGAAAAACCTATGAATTAACACTTGTAGAGACTTGCTGATTTTCTTGACTTTGGATAATTCTAACGATTGGCAAAAACAACGTGAGTGATTGGATTCTGACGTTCTTTGTTACGGTAATGGGAAGTGTGCAGGCGTGGTTCAATCTACTAAATTGTTATGTTGTTTTTATTTCCATGCACACAAAGCCAATGTAATTTATACAAAAGCTATCCGCACGCAGCGTAAACAATAACGGTAAGACCTGAAGAAAACTGGAGACACCGAACAATGTAAAGAAAGACGTTTATTGACGTTTATGTCGTATGAAGTTATCTATTAACACCGATTATCTTCCTCTTTATTTTCAATTTCCGAAAGATGATACGATAATTTCTGTCGAAGAAGTTAGTAGCCATCCGTGGCAACATAAGATGCTAAATGTATATTTCCTTAAAACCCTATCTTGTGGCTGTAAAATGATCGAATCGATTTAAAGTGCAGAGAATTAACGAGAAAGCGAATACGCCTGACATTCAGCAAGAACATGCACGGCTTCTTTGCAATTCACTAAGTGTCTGTTCTAGATACTTATACGAGATGAGAAGAGTTTGTCACTGTTACACATCTCAAGGTATCACCATTTTCTGCTGATCCTTCTGTTACGGAAAATGATTTTATGTGTTTATGGTGAGGGTAAGAACCAGGGTTATTTGAAGGGGGAACGTCCGAAGATGCTCGCTGAAGGACCCCGAAAACTTTTGGTATTTTAGAGGGCGAACGGTGCCATTTGGTACGGTTTAGAACAATGACACGGCAAGTCAAAATTCTAATTAGAGGAGACCAGAAATCGAAGGGGGTGGGGGTGAGTCAGGACCCCTTGACCCCCCCCCCCTCTAAATCCGTCACTGGTAAGAACGTCCTTTCTGCTCTTGTCTTCAAGAAGACACCTTTGAAATCACGCCAGGAATTAAGAGTGGGTGGTGAAGTGAGAAAAACTTTTCTGTAAGGCAAAGACTACAATTTCTTAGACACTAGATATATTGTTGTCAAACCACACAGTATTAAGAGAAACGCGTACGTGGCAATATTGAAACGGACTGCAGAGATTACGGCCATTAGGTTGCATAAATGACAAATTAGTCGGTGATTTCCTGCCCAAACACACCTAAACCAACAAGGACGTAAAGATTGAATATGAAGATATTATGTCAGTTAATCTACCTCTGGCTATGTCGTGATGCTGATCCTAATCGACCGGCTTAATGGCGTTTTTGCCGGAGATTTGCTGACCAAACGCACCATCCCCTAAGTCACAAGATAAATACTGATCTACGTCATTCTCCATCTTAAGTGTCACCTTCAAATCGTTTTTTAAACAGATATCGTTTAAGGTGTCCTTTGATCAGGAAACATAAACCTGATCTTCCTCCTATTCTGTCAACTTTCCTTTTTTTCATTTTCATCTTAATAAAGGGCGGGGTAGGATGATAAAAATGACGCAGAAATGGAACCGTTCCGTTTCGTTCTTCTCGTGTCGGAGCGTGCACTCGTGTGTGCGTGTCAACATCATTAACTGAAATAGTCCCACGTGTTTCATGGGAGTAGATTATGTCATATATATATATATATACGAGGAGGGCAAGAACGTCAGATTTAGACAAGCCTTTCTTCTGCTTGTTCAAGGTTTCTTTTTTACCAAATAAACTTACACTTATGTTAAACGGGCTTCTGAATGAATACGACTTCTAAGGCTTACAGTTTAATAATAGGCTATTTATGACCACTCTGCCTGTGTAGGGATTCTGTAGAAGGTCTTAAAGTACATTTATTTGATATGGACAGAGATAGAAGTTCAGATCCGTAAATTGCAGTGTGGTAAAGTGTCATCTGGTGTTTCTGTCCACAAGTAATCTCGGGTCCATTTCAGAAATAGGTTTTGGACTAATTAGTCGAGAACGCTGACTTCGTAAAGTTTTTTTTTTTTTTTTTTTTATCGTGAAATTGCTCTAAGAGTGTTTTCCAAGAGAGTGGCCCGCAATACGCATACAAAAATGCACCATTCTTGCCACTGTCTAGGCACATGCAGATAAATACTTAAAAAATCACAAGATAGGTGGCCGTTCAGATTGTTTGTGAAACGCATCATAGTCTGCTAACCTTCTATGCTGTCTTTACTACGGCAGATTTCGGACTTTGTCCGTTTAGTTCTTGACGCATACAAATATGATTAATGTCCAATAAAATGCTCTCCGCTAAAAGTTATTGTCACATTGTTATCTGTGTAATGAATCCCGCATCGCGACGGATTCTTCCAAGTATATATCATTTAGGACAAAGGAAAAGACCGTGGTTCTAACACTTTGCATTCGAAGAAAATTTGAGAATTAAGAATTAACATCCTTAGTATACTCGCAGATGAGACGCACCTAAGGGGTGCAAGATATGGATCGGTGTTATCAGATTTCATAAACCTTCGGAAATATGTCTTGTTTTCGAGTGACCCATTCCAGCAATAAGAGACTTCATTTCGACAAAAAAAATTATGGATATGCATCGTTACTTTTATGCAGCTTCCAATGGCATTTGGACCTTTATATAAAATATATATATAACGATTCATTGTTTCTTATGATATAAAGCAGTACATATAAATAATACACATGTATTTCATAACGTTAATTGATATAATACATAATATATTCTATGCTGGGGCACCAAGGTATGACTCACCTGTAGTTTGTCCGGTGGTACAACCCTCAGAAAGTACGGATACTTCACTTTATCACTGAGGGTGTCACTGGTGGACGCATAGCTGACCTGAGGGATGTGAAACAGCGTCAGGAACCCTGCGGAACCGATGCTAGCCACGCTAAACCCTGCGCCCACAACTCCCGCCACGTGGAAGTAATCTCCACTTAGAAGAGAGCTCTCATTCCCGCCACCGACACCGGAAGTGTGACAGCCGGTCTCGTTGTAAGGCGCGAACTTCATCGACTGCGCCAAAGCGGTGCTTTCTTTCATGCACGTGTCCAGCATGGCAAAGCCGAGGGTTACATTCGGAAGGAGCTCGGTACTGTTATTGATGAGCTCGATGGCAAAGCGCATGGCCTCCGGTAGCTGCAGCGCCGCCTTGATCCACAGGGAGTCCCCGCAAGGCTTCGTGGCACTGTATTTGGTGATTGGGAACAGCCCGCCAAGTATGACGTCACCATTCCTGACGTAAGGCCTGTCGGGAAGGTCCGGAACTGAAATGCGCCCCTCTGCCACGTGTAGTATTATTATTATGCCGAAAAGTAAAACCGGCATGACACCGGTGTTTGCTCTTGTCATTGTGTGCTGTGATAGAACCATTTTTGTGACTTTTTTAAACGCTAGCTCATTCAATGTAAGCTTCCCTCTGTGACTCTCTGATAATGAAGGTTTGTCTCAAAAAAGCGTCCATAGGTCTTCCTCAATGTTTCACATACTGTGATGTGTCCGTGATCTTTTCTACCTCAGACCTGGCACTGAGGTGCGCGTTAGTTAAATTTTGAATTTTTGAATTTTAGGAAAAATCCTCCTGTACGATGGTCATAGTGTCTTTTCTTCAGCTTTGTGTAAGTCACCAACATGTGACTAATATGTATGTTGTATAACAGCCTTTCCTGCTCCGCCTTCCTTAATGTCTGAATACTCTCTATTAGTCCTTTTATTTTCAATGCAGGAGCGGACTATTAATCAATAATATCCTGACAATGTATTGAAATACTGTAGCTGAAGTTTGGACCTTAATATATCTCCATCTGTAGAGTATGGAACACTCTATGTCATTCAAACGGTAAGCCTTGTTTATAAACCCTTCTGCTAAATGCCAACCGTCCTTTTACTCTGTATATTGTCCAAAACACATCAGTGCTGTCATTTTGCTCAACTGGCACAAAGAGCAAAGAAGGACACTCAACCAAAGTCCGCTGAAAGCTGTAAAGTCACCTGTTAATTTCCCACGTGCATCACGTCTAAAATGTTCCGATCATAAAACATATTTAATCGTCTTTGTTACCTAGCGCACTGTACATGTGCCGGTCAGCTTTTGTATCTGAAATGACAAAGATGACATCCATTTAAGCACCAGAGCCGGATATTAATATCAAGACCTCTACAATACAGATACTAAACAAATTTCATAACCCAGAGGTAAACAAAAAAACGACGGCAGCGGAAGTCTTCAGTTTGCTTGATATGTCGTCCACGAACCTTTGGATCTTAGGTCACGACGAATATTGTAACATGTAAGTCTTATTGTATTACATTGTGTTTTACAACAAAGATAAATGAGACGAATAGAACTGCAGTGTAAATTTGGTATGTTGCTGAGTTAAGCTTCAGTTTAGCATATTGATAAACATGTACATGAACATCTTTAATTAGAGTATTGTAAAAATCAATGACAAGTTGTTGTTTTATTGTAAGGGCCGTTTGACCCAAAGCTAAAGAATACAGGTTCGTGACAAATCGAAATCTTTTCCGTAGTGAACACTGAAAGTTGTCAGCACGATGAAAGTATACAAAAAAGGTTAATACAAAAGGTAGGCCTACGCATGTTTCATAAATGCGAAAGATGTCTAAAGCCATCAGTTCGTTTGCTACGCACACGTACTTTTCTCTCTCTCTCTCTCTCTCTCTCTCTCAGCGTTCACCAGCCTGCCATTTCAACCAAAGAGTAGACTAATAGGTGTTTTGTTGTATTTTCAAAAGAATAATTGCCAATTACTGGGCCCCCAGCACGAAATGTAATCACTGCTTAATAAACCACCCTTTCCCTGCGGAAATCACCGATGCTGTTAATATGGCATTATAGAGTTCTGAAAACATTGCAGAACCCTGTGCCCATCTTTAGGAACAGTCGATAATTGGACAACGATAATTCGAGAGTTGAGAAATATGATAATTACGTAAGTTCCTAAATTCCACATAGACCGTAAAAAATACACAGAGGACGAAGATGAGGAAACATAAACCATAATTATAGAACTTGCAATTTTCCGTTTTTTTAGGTTATGAACTACCTGTATGTGAGTAGTTTTAACGAAACAATATATTAGTGTTGGTAGATATAAGAGAAAACGTTTTTAATTTTGTTTGTTTGTTTGTTTTTCCTGTGTTTTATACGCAAAATAGATAAAGAATAAAAATGAAATAGAATAAATAAATATTCAGCCATCTGAATGCTGTGAGCTTGTTTTAGTGACAAAAAATAGTAGGTACATGTTTTGTTGTACAATATAAACGCATAATTAAGTGTACTAAAACACAGAAAACGATCATACATGTTGTCACTATAGTATTAAAGTGACCTTGTCTTGAATGGAGTCTTGTCATGATTTAAATAATCAGTTGTACCAGTGGTGATCATGAGTAGCTGTCTTAGTACAAGTAAATTTAATTAAATCTTTGTACATACATGTAGTAAGTTTTGATTATGGATATACTCTGTATATAAATTCAACACAGAACCAAACACATTGTTAGCCGTGTCCGCATGAAAGAACGAATGACGCAAAGCATCTTAAAGGACACACGAAACATAACAAATTCTGGCATTTTATATTGCTCTCAGAAATGTTTTTTTTTTTTTTTTTAAATTTAGAAATGGATAAAAACCATTAAATACGTTTCAGGTTCTTAACAAGGTGTTGTGTTTTCTGTTTTGTTTCTTTATCACGTTATGAACGGATACAGGAGTATCTTTGCCAGAGTCACGCGGTAACCCAGCAAACACAGAATGTTTTATAACATTAAAATCCTGTTATCATATAAGTATTATTATTGATGCATCTCTGAAGATCTACTTTATAGTTGTCAAATATAATCCAAGCTTTCGACCCCTAGGCCTTATTCGGGGATTATGAAAAAAAAAGATCTATACGNCGAGATTATTCGAAGGGGTTCCACATATGCGAAGCTAGCCTCCTTTTAAATAAGTATACGGTTCTGGGTAGTAAGAATATTAATTGCGAGAATATTTCTGACTAAATGATGATTTTATTATTAATGGAAATTAAGCTTCGATGTGTGGTACATATGCTGTAATTACGCTGTCCTTCATCTCTTGCGTTAGATTTACATTTTGCTGGGAATTTTAAAAATCTGTGCGTACAATTTTTAAAGGTCTGGTTACGCCCCTGCTTTCTTCTGCTTGTTCAAGGTTTCTTTTTTACCAAATAAACTTACACTAATGTTAAACAGGCTTCTGAATGAATACGACTTCTAAGGCTTACAGTTTCATAATAGGCTATTTATGACCACTCTTCCTGTGTAGGGATTCTGTAGAAGGTCTTAAAGTACATTTATTTGATATGGGCAGAGATAGAAGTTCAGATCCGTAAATTGCAGTGTGGTAAAGTGTCATCTGGTGTTTCTGTCCACAAGTAATCTCGGGTCAATTTCAGAAATAGGTTTTGGACTAATTAGTCGAGAACGCTGACTTCGTTAATTTTTTTTTTTTCTGTTTTGTTTTTGTGAAATTGCTCTTAGAGTGTTTTCCAAGAGAGTGGCCTGCAATACGCATACAAAAATGCACCATTCTTGCCACTGTCTAGGCACATGCAGATAAATACTTAAAATCGCAAGATAGGTGGCCGTTCAGAATGTTTGCGAAACATATCATATAGTCTGCTAACCTTCTATACTGTCTTTACTACGGCAGATTTCGGACTGTGGCCGTTTTGTTCTTGACGCATACAAGTATGATCAATGTCCAATAAAATGCTCTCCGCTAAAAGTTATTGTCACATTGTTATCTGTGTAATGAATCCCGCATCGCGACGGATTCTTCCAAGTATATATCATGTAGGACAAAGGAAAAGACCGTGGTTCTAACACTTTGCATTCGAAGAAAATTTGAGAATTAAGAATTAACATCCTTAGTATACTCGCAGATGAGGTGCACCTAAGGGGTGCCAGATATGGATCGGTTTTATCGGATTTCATAAACCTTCGGAAATATGTCTTGTTTTCGAGTGACCCATTCCAGCAATAAGAGACTTCATTTCGACAAAAAAATGGATATGCATCGTTACTTTTATGCAGCTTCCAATGGCATTTGGACCTTTATATAAAATATATATATAACGATTCATTGTTTCTTATGATATAAAGCAGTACGTATAAATAATACACATGTTTTCATTGTTTCTTATGATATAAAGCAGTACATATAAATAATACACATGTATTTCATAACGTTAATTGATATAATACATAATAAATTCTATACTGGGGCACCAAGGTATGACTCACCTGTAGTTTGTCCGGTGGTACAACCCTCAGAAAGTACGGATACTTCACTTTATCACTGAGGGTGTCACTGGTGGACGCATAGCTGACCTGAGGGATGTGAAACAGCGTCAGGAACCCTGCGGAACCGATGCTAGCCACGCTAAACCCTGCGCCCACAACTCCCGCCACGTGGAAGTAATCTCCACTTAGAAGAGAGCTCTCATTCCCGCCACCGACACCGGAAGTGTGACAGCCGGTCTCGTTGTAAGGCGCAAACTTCATCGACTGCGCCAAAGCGGTGCTTTCTTTCATGCACGTGTCCAGCATGGCGAAGCCGAGGGTTACATTCGGAAGGAGCTCGGTACTGTTATTGATGAGCTCGATGGCAAAGCGCATGGCCTCCGGTAGCTGCAGCGCCGCCTTGATCCACAGGGAGTCCCCGCAAGGCTTCGTGGCGCTGTATTTGGTGATTGGGAACAGCCCGCCAAGTATGACGTCACCATTCCTGACGTAAGGCCTGTCGGGAAGGTCCGGAACTGAAATGCGCCCCTCTGCCACGTGTAGTATTATTATTATGCCGAAAAGTAAAACCGGCATGACACCGGTGTTTGCTCTTGCCATTGTGTGCTATGATAGAACCGTTTTTGTGACTTTTTTAAACGCTAGCTCATTCAATGTAAGCTTCCCTCTGTGACTCTCTGATAATGAAGGTTTGTCTCAAAAAAGCGTCCATAGGTCTTCCTCAATGTTTCACATACTGTGATGTGTCCGTGATCTTTTCTACCTCAGACCTGGCACTGAGGTGCGCGTTAGTTAAATTTTGAATTTTTGAATTTTAGGAAAAATCCTCCTGTACGATGGTCATAGTGTCTTTTCTTCAGCTTTGTGTAAGTCACCAACATGTGACTAATATGTATGTTGTATAACAGCCTTTCCTGCTCCGCCTTCCTTAATGTCTGAATACTCTCTATTAGTCCTTTTATTTTCAATGCAGGAGCGGACTATTAATCAATAATATCCTGACAATGTATTGAAATACTGTAGCTGAAGTTCGGACCTTAATATATCCATCTGTAGAGTATGAAACACTCTATGTCATTTAAACGGTAAGCCTTGTTTATAAACCCTTCTGCTAAATGCCAACCGTCTTTTTACTCTGTATATTGTCCAAAACACATCAATGCTGTCATTTTGCTCAACTGGCACAAAGAGCAAAGAAGGACACTCAACCAAAGTCCGCTGAAAGCTGTAAAGTCACCTGTTAATTTCCCACGTGCATCACGTCTAAAATGTTCCGATCATAAAACATATTTAATCGTCTTCGTTACCTAGCGCACTGTACATGTGCCGGTCAGCTTTTGTATCTGAAATGACAAAGATGACATCCATTTAAGCACCAGAGCCGGATATTAATATCAAGACCTCTACAATACAGATACTAAACAAATTTCATAACCCAGAGGTAAACAAAAAAAACGACGGCAGCGGAAGTCTTCAGTTTGCTTGATATGTCGTCCACGAACCTTTGGATCTTGGGTCACGACGAATATTGTAACATGTAAGTCTTATTGTATTACATTGTGTTTTACAACAAAGATAAATGAGACGAATAGAACTGCAGTGTAAATTGGGTATGTTGCTGAGTTAAGCTTCAGTTTAGCATACTGTTAAACATGTACATGAACATCTTTAATTAGAGTATTGTAAAAATCAATGACAAGTTGTTGTTTTATTGTAAGGGCCGTTTGACCCAAAGCTAAAGAATACAGGTTCGTGACAAATCGAAATCTTTTCCGTAGTGAACACTGAAAGTTGTCAGCACGATGAAAGTATACAAAAAAGGTTAATACAAAAGGTAGGCCTACGCATGTTTCATAGATGCGAAAAATGTCTAAAGCCATCAGTTCGTTTGCTGTGCACACGTACTTTTCTCTCTCTCTCTCTCTCTCAGCGTTCACCAGCCTGCCATTTCAACCAAAGAGTAGACTAATAGGTGTTTTGTTGTATTTTCAAAAGAATAATTGCCAATTGCTGGGCCCCCAACACGAAATGTAATCACTGCTTAATAAACCACCCTTTCCCTGCGGAAATCACCGATGCTGTTAATGTGGCATTATAGAGTTCTGAAAACATTGCAGAACCCTGTGCCCATATTTAGGAACAGTCGATAATTGGACAACGATAATTCGAGAGTTGAGAAATATGATAATTACGTAACTTCCTAAATTCCACATAGACCGTAAAAAATACACAGAGGAAGAAGATGAGGAAACAAAAACCATAAATATAGAACTTGCAATTTTCCGTTTTTTTAGGTTATGAACTACCTGTATGTGAGTAGTTTTAACGAAACAATATAGAAGTGCTGGTAGATATAAGAGAAAGCGTTTTTAATTTTGTTTGTTTGTTTGTTTTTCCTGTGTTATATACGCAAAAAAGATAAAGAATAAAAAAGAAATAGAATAAATAAATATTCAGCCATCTGAATGCTGTGAGCTTGTTTTAGTGACAAAAAATAGTAGGTAAATGTTTTGTTGTACAATATAAACGCATAATTAAGTGTACTTAAAACACAGAAAACGATCATACATGTTGTAACTATAGTATTAAAATGACCTTGTCTTGAATGGAGTCTTGTCATGATTTAAAAAACCAGTTGTACCAGTGGTGATCATGAGTAGCTGTCTTAGTGCACATAAAATTAAATCTTTACACATACATGTAGTAAGTTATGCTCTGTATATACTCTGTATATAAATTCAACACAGAACCAAACACATTGTTAGCAGTGTCCGCAAGAAAGAACGAATGACGCAAAGCATCTTAAAGGACACACGAAACATAACAAATTCTGGCATTTTATATTGCTCTCAGAAATGTTTTTTTTTTTTTTTAAATTTAGAAATGGATTAAAACCATTAAATACGTTTCAGGTTCTTAACAAGGTGTTGTGTTTTCTGTTTTGGTTCTTTATCACGTTATGAACGGATACAGGAGTATCTTTGCCAGAGTCACGCGGTAACCCAGCAAACACAGAATGTTTTATAACATTAAAATCCTGTTATCATAGAAGTATTATTATTGATGCATCTCTGAAGATCTACTTTATAGTTGTCAAATATAATCCAAGCTTTCGACCCCTAGGCCTTATTCGGGGATTATGAAAAAAAAAAAGATCTATACANTATCATATTATCTATTATTTATATCTCCAAGATAGAACAGCCTTGTGATTTCATTGTTTAAAGTGGATATAACTATTTACTCATTCTCTCTCTCTCTCATCACGCCCATTATATATACGCCGTTATTTCATTGTTAAACATGTTACGGAGGCTAAACATGTTACGGATTCATCAGTTAATGACATCGTGACGTCAGACTACAATGTTCACATCAATCAGAGAAGAAGAAAAAAATGGAAAACGCAATTAGACACGTTGTTTTGAGAGAAAGAGAGAGAGAGAGAGCACCAGGCAATCCAAGCACAGTAGAAATTTGTTTCAGAATATTTGATTAAAAAATATAGCTTACTTACAATTTTTTCAATAATTCAACCCCAAACATTATTCAGTCATTTTTTATAGTAAATGCACAGGTAAAGCGAGGGAAATTGATCAACATCCAGGTTCATATATAGGGCGAGAGAACTGCTAGGGCCAGCTATAAAAGGCCTACAATACCGGGCACATGCAAGCAGCTTATCAATAATTTGTGCCCTCTGCTGTGCTCGATGAGATGCTGACTGAAAAAAATATAAGGGGCTTGCAGAATGTTTAGTCTTCGTGTTTTACCAGGCAATGAGAGGGAGAAAGGCCAACACTTAATAAAGAGACTCCCAATTAAAAAGATTATTTTTCGAAAAAATTTTACCACACTGCCCCGTCATTACTTTAGCCTCTGAAGTCTTTGGCCCTGACATTACTTTGTTTGTTTTTTTTTTTCTTTGAGAAAAATGACAACATTTATCACAATGGTCCATTGTACTTGAATTCAATGAACTAGAGTGGAATACCCTGGGTTAGTGTGTAACCAAACCGCCTTTGCCTTGGTAGGATTTATTTTGAGCTCACTTCCAAGTTGCAATACAACGGAACGTCACAACATTTTGTTTAACGCGCGAACCGCAGTGCTCATCACACATATCCTGCGTGTATCCATCTTGCAGAATGTTAAGTCTGCGTGTTTTACCAGGCAAATGAACATTAGACGTTGTAGTTGAAAAACCATTATGTCTGATAGAAAGAACACCTGCTGAGGTAAAGAAATTCTTCAAGAATCGTGTCTGAAATAAAATGTCGCGGTCACACTACGCTTCTGAAGACCGAAACCAGATCGCTATTGTTGACGTGATCAGTTTGACTTGAGGTCGAGCCGATGTCCTCCAAGCTTTATATTCAACCAAAACCTCTTAGTGTAATATGATTAGAAGGACCTAAAAACTCTCCTCTAGTATTTTTACAATTAGTTCGTCTTTACTATACCCAGATCGAAGCGTATAAGATCTCCGTAAGCACAATGTGAACACAGCCCATTTCGTGTTGAATGTGGAAGTTTTATCAAAATGTCAGTGAAAAGGACCCTTATTCCCTGAAAGCATACAACTTCCGAAATGTTCCAATGTAAAAAATGCCTATTAGCCAATACACGTGACTAAATGCAAACAGCATAATTTGAGCTTGTGAGTAAGAGTTCTGTGGTAAGATTTCGGCATAGCTTGCAGCCTTCCGTGCCCAGATTGTATTTGTGATAAAAATGAAAGTTGTGATTCATTGGTTTGTTTTTTTTGTAACGTTAAGATCTGGGCGAGGTGAAGGTCTTTTATGAGATTCAATTATAATTCCATTCTTATTTAATTTATTAATTGTATTACTACTCCTGCTATTTATCATATATAGGAAATCCTGTTTGAAGAAACTTCTTCACACATGATGTTGTGGTATCTTTTACATCTTTAAAATGATTTTCATGAAATCATGTCTTGAAAATGATACCTAGTTGCTTTAAGATAAGTTTGTTATAAGACAAGTTTAGCTTGTACAGCAAGCCACACATCTTAACCTATCAGGAACAGTGTTACAGCACTCTCATGGACACATGCATACGTCTTACCCTATCAGGAACAGTGTTACAACACTCATCTTTACTTAGCCGGGGAATTGACTTAAGTTTTTTTTTTTTTTTAACCGGGGTCTAAACTCACTATTGTTTCTATAGGTTTAAACTGGGTTTCGCCAGGTCACACGTTCAGTGCAGTATTTCATTTTGTAGGTTACACATGAAAATAATTGCACGTAAATTACTATTAATTCATAACGACCACCTTGAAACGGATTCTAATTTATATCAGCCAAGGCTCCATTTTATTCTTATTTACATGTAGTACAGTTGTATCCACATAATTCTACTGAGGTGCCATGGACGTACATGTATACAGTCATAAAATGTATCCAAAGTGACTCTAATGAGTTTCTGTAGAACAGGCACTTTGGGTAATCCATTAGAGGGAACGCAATGCTTTTAANGAAAAAAAATGGAAAACGCAATTAGACACGTTGTTTTGAGAGAAAGAGAGAGAGAGAGAGAGAGAGCACCAGGCAATCCAAGCACAGTAGAAATTT